TGGCCAACATCCTACTCTATGACATCGGGAAACAAATCATACAACAATTATTTAGCTTCCTACAACCCAATTCACGCAGATACCAGCTGGCGTCAGGGAACAGACTATACAATGATTGGCCAACATCCTACTCTATGACATCGGGAAACAAATCATACAACAATTATTTAGCATGCCACAGCACAATCCACGCAGATACCAGCTGGCGTCAGGGAACAGACTATACAATGACTGGCCAACATCCTACTCTATGACAATCCCAGGACACAAAAGTAATATGATGATTAGTTAAAATCATGTAATACACACTAGCCTACAATAAAGTCCATGTGAATAACAGTTTAGTTCAGGACACAAAAGTAATATGATGATTAGTTAAAACCATGTAATACACACTAGCCTACAATAAAGTCCATGTGAATAACAGTTTAGTTCAGGACACAAAAGTAATATGATGATTAGTTAAAACCATGTAATACACACTAGCCTACAATAAAGTCCATGTGAATAACAGTTTAGTTCAGGACACAAAAGCTGTATAACGATTACTAACATTATAAAGTAATAAGAGACATGTAAAGACCAGCTTACATAAGGAACTGAGAGAACCGTACTTCTTAGGACGTGAACCGCAACGCAACTGTACGATAACAAAGCACATAAAATACATCTCGATTTCAAAAGTTTATTACACTATGCTCACATAGCTAACAAAAACATATATTTCATTTTCCATTTCAAGAGAACTTAACATAAGCAACTAATCTACATTAGAAAAACCACACAACACCAGCTCAACTCTGTGACAATAGAATCTATACGCCTCAGAAAATCTACATAAAATCAGATAAAATCGGACAATATAACCTACAGTATGACCAGTCCACATCAGAAAATTAGACTAAGTCATTTCAACTCGCACAATACATTCTACAGCCCGACCAACCCGCACCAGAAAAAAAAATACAACAATCAGCTCAGTTCAAACCAGAGAACCTACAGAACAACAAACTTGCACCAGGAAAACTACATGAAACCAAATTAACTCAGACAAAGAACCTAGAGTACGACCAACTAGCATGAGGGAAAACAACCAAACCAGTCCAACTCTGTCAACAGAACCTGAAACAAACCAACTCACATCAGGAAAACTACACAACAGGAACTAGTACAATTAACTTACTTGAGAGAACGAAACCTAGATGACTATTATATAAAATACGCTTAAATATCCTTTTATCAAAATGTTCAAATTTAATTTTTTTTTCTGCCGACTACAAAAAGATCACTTCACTTTATGTTGTGAGTCCAGTGAAGTATGTTTTAAAAAGATCACTTCACTTTATGTGGTCAGGCCAGTGCAGTATGTTTTTATTAAGATTATTCAAAATCTCTTCTAAGGATTTAAATTTTGGGTTGATTCTTGTTAAGTCCAAAGCTACAGAATGGGCTGTGCTTTTTTTTCACACCACAGGTATCGAAACCTGATTTTTAGCGTTGGTAGCCTGTAGACATATCGCTGAGCCACTGAGAGACAATGGAGATGGAAAGGGAAATAGGTTTTTTTTATCTCTGTATTAAGACTACATCAATTTACGCCCTATGGTTGTTGTTTGAAGCAGTTTTCCTGTCGTCTTCAAACTTGTTACAACAGTTAAAATTGGTTAAGTTACCAGAATTAAAACAGTATTAAAACAGGATTTGCCCGTTGTTTTCTGATTTTGGAAGGGATTTGTGATGCGTCAATGAGATGGTCGTGGAATAGACTTTAAGGCCGGGTTTAGTAGTCTTGGAATAGGTTTTGTTGCTTTTTTGTTTTTGCCTTTTTTCCCCGTGTTGAGTTTCTAAGTTAGTTTCTTTGAAAGACCCAACAATTATATAAATATTCATATTCAATTTGTTTACTATTTGTTTGGGAAACTACAGAAAACTAGATATGATGAGTTAAAAAAATGCTATGTAATAACTTGAGAAAATTTTGGTCTATCTTAATGACCTTTGACATACTTATGAAACTGATTAACTTGTTAAATTATCTGTACTTTTTAGCTAAAATTTAACTGTGCTTATAGAATGAGCTAAAACCACATGTTTTAGCATGTTCGGGGATCTTTGTATGTTTTTGTTTACTAATCCCAGTAAATCATAACAATGGTTTTGCTGCCAAAGGAAATTCATTATTTATTATTTTAATAAACCCCCAGTGGCACAGCGGTATGTCTGCGGACTTACAACGCTAGGAACCGGATTTTGATACCCTTGGTAGGCAGAGCTTGTGTAGCTTTGTGCTTGACTTCAAACAAACAAACAATTATTTTAATATTCTAGAGAAAGCCAAAAGATGCTTAATTCACTACAGTGACTTCAAATCATTCTGCTTTAAGAAGAAGCTGACAATATTGAGAGGAAGGAATCAGATAATTTTGTGAGGGGAGCCAAGCTGGATTCATTCCAAAACAAAACATCCGAAGCATCATTTTAATGTGGTGTTTCAAAATTATTCTTTCTCTCCAAACAGGATAACCATGGTCATAGTC